CACCCAGGCAGAGTCCCAGTGCTTGTCTCTGGGGGCAGCTTTGCCTGCACTGTCTCCCCTAAGTGGGGACAGTGGGGATGATGAACCCAGCAGCTCAGAGTTGGTTTTTTTTAACACGTGCCCCTAGCGGGAACCAAACCCGGGACTCTCTGGTCCGCAGGCTGCCGCTCCAACCGCTGAGCCAAATCGGCCAGGGCTGCCCAGAGTTTTCATAAAGATCAACTTGGCACATGGCAGGAGCTATGAAATGTAAGGAACGGGGGCTCTGATGATGAGCCAGCAATCCAGTCAGATGAATCTCACAGCCAACAGGTTGGTCTTACATCCCAACCATGAACCAGACAGATAAATGCTGCCCCAGTGTGAAGGGTGGTGCCCAAGCCTCAGGCCCTGAGTGCTCCAGGCCCTGAGGGGTGGCACCCTCTGGAGACTTCATCTCAGATCTGGGCCTTGCAGCGGCCCATGTTTGAGGTATGCCAGGCTAGGACCAAAGGTTCCACGGAGTTGTGGACTGCCCTCCTGGAGAGGGTGGGGTTTGTGCTCAGGGGCCCACTGGGTAGCAGGAGAAGGCCACTGCCAGGAAAACTTACAAAATGGAGAACCGAAAGTTGGCCCTTCTCCCAGGCAGCCTGGCCCATGGGCCATACCAAATGGAAGGAAAAGGGGGCACATTCTGGAATGTACCACTGGCTTCCTCCATCACTGCCCCTGCATGGTAACCCCAAGTCTGGGGAAAGGCCAAGGGCAAGCCCTTCCCCTCACAGGCACCTAGCATGGAGAGCAGTGTCTCAGCAGGCTGTCTCACCAAGGTCATACACTGATGGGGGGCGCTCATACTTCAATTTTCAGAATGCTTTCTATCATGAGTGTGTCTTGTAGAACTAGTATTGCATGCTGTATGTGAAAAGGATCAACTATTTATTATAAGATGACAATTTTCTCTCGACTTAATATATAAATCTAAGCAATCCCACTTTCTGCAAAATAGGTCAGGGTGGGAGAAGTTGATAAGCCCATCTGAGGTTGACAAGAAAAAAAACCCGTAGGAGTGAGGAAAGGAGATGGACCTCCAGACCTCAGGGATCAAGACAGTGAGGCTCAGGTTAACTGGGATGACAGCCTAGAACAACCCACATGCAGGCCAGGGCTCAGCGTACCATAAAGATGGCACTTCAGTGGGGAAAGATGGCTTTTTCAGGACATGTAGTTGGAGTAAATGGTTTGGAAAAAGGCAGCCTGTGTTCCCCCCTCACTCCTGAGGAGTACTTTCTAGAATTAGAGAAAAATTTAAATGATTTTTTAAAAACAAGAAACCATCACCCTGGCCGGTTTGGCTCAGCGGTTAGAGCGTCAGCCTGCGGTCCAGAGAGACCCAGGTTCGGTTCCCGCTAGGGGCACGTACCTCGGTTGCAGTTTGTCCCCGGCCCTGGTTGGGTCGTGCAGGTAGCAACCACTCAATGTGTCCCTTTCACGTCGATGTTTCTCACTCTCTCTCTCCCTCCCACTCTATCTGAACAAAAAATGGAAAAATGTCCTCGGGTGAGGATAAAATAAATAAATAAAATAAAAAAAGAAAGCATTACATTTCCAGAAGAAAATATCAAATGTTATATAATCTTGGAGTACAGAAAATATTTCTGAGCATGACACAAAATGCAAAAGCCACACATGAAAAAAATAACTTTAAATGCCTGGCAAAAATAAATAGCCCTGACTGGTTTGGCTCAGAGGTTAAAGCGTCGGCTCGTGGACCAATGAGTCCAGGGTCTTGATTCCAATAAAGGGCACGCACCTCAATTGCATTTCTTCCCCCACCCTGGATGGGGTCGTACGGGAGGCAACTGGTCCCTGTGTCTCTCTCACATTTGATGTTTCTCCTTCTGTCTCTCTCCCTCACTCTCCCTCCCTCCCACTGCATCTGAAGATAAATGGAAAAATATCCTTGGTTGAGGATTTAAAAATAATAAAAAATAAACAAACACCTGGCAAAAATAAATAAATTTGAAAGACAAAAAAAACCCATAATCCAAGTCAAAGATAAATGACAGAATGGGAAAAAACACACTTTAACAGACAATGGGCTAATTGCCTTAATATTGAATGTGTGCCTATTAAAGAATAACACCAACAACCCAATAGAAAAATAGGCAAAGAATATGAAATACAAACAGCTTTTAAATATAGGCATGTTTATAATAAACATAGGTCTTCCCAGTTTCAAAATGGTAGAAGTGATCAACATAAAAAATAAATCTGACAAAAGCATTAAGATTCATTGTACTTCTAGGAAATACAAATAAAGCTACAATGAAACACTATTTTATGCCTACCAGTTCTACAAGATCACACAATAGGGGACACTAGCCCCTTCCTTTGTTGGAAAGGGGACAATTTGGTGTAACTGGTTAAGAGATTATGTACCCAGTTAGAGATCTATAAGGCCTTTGACCCAGGACTTCTGCACCAAGGAATTCAGCCGACAGAAATACAGTCATCTCTCGCCACCTGGCACTTCGATGTTCCTGGCTTCACTCTATCGCGATTTTTTCAAATACACTATACTATGCTATGCTATGCTTTGCTATACTATACTATACTATACTACACTACACTATACTAAATTTGATAAAACCGCAATAGAGTGAAGCTGCAAATGTCGAAGCACCAAGTGGCGAGGGACAACTATATAAATAAAGAATCCTACTTAGCAGAAATTCATTTTCGGGGTAGAGTCTGGAACTGATTAACCACGATAAACGAGGGCGACTGTATTCCTACTTGGCTATAAGTATAGTCAACCTAGCATCACTTGTTACAAGACTGGAAATGACTTAAATTTCAACCAACAGGAAACAGGAAGAATGCACAGTATTAATAAAATATGGTACAGCCATGAAAACAAATGAGTCCATAGAAAACACCCTCCAAGTCATATCACATGAACAGTGAGTGACACTTTGTACAAACACATTAGATATACGTGCATAGACGTTCTTTGTTGAAACATGAGAAACTGGCTTATCTCTGCCCCAGGGGAGGGGAACCAGGTTTTTGAGGTCAGGGGTGGGAATGACACCGAGTTTTACCCAATACCCTTTCATGATCAGAATTTTTTTACTCTTTATATCCGAAAACATTTTTGTTCAGTTGCTTTGAACTTGCTGTATTGTGGGGCCCTGTCTCTCAGTAAACTTATATGTTGATAGTTTGAAAAGACAACATGCTCTGTGACAAGTGCAGTGCCAGTGGTCAGTGGGAACACAGGGCTGAGGAGTCAGGAGGAGGGTTGCTTTGGGGAAGAAAACAACTGAAGCAAGAGAATAAGAGGAAGTCAGGCTTGTAAGAAAAGTTAACTATGCTGGGGGCCTGGACAGAAGACCAGGGCTTAGTGAGGGTTTGTCAGACTCAAAGACCAGTCTGTGCAAATGTCCTGAGGTAAGAAGGGCAACCGATAGCTAGTGCCACAGATGTTCTCTGCTCTAATGAGTACACATCTCACGTTCAATTTGGCTTCTAAACGTCCTGTATTGTCAAAAATGATCCCAGAATCCCAGCCACAGGGGCCTGTGGGGCTCAGGAGGGGCGAGGGCATCAGCACCTTCCCCGCCCATTCCCAGACTAGGGCACTTTCCAGTTATAGAGATGGGTAGAACGGGACTCCATGAGCTCAAGGGCTGTGTGGATGTCAGAGGAAGAGGTCGATAGAAGAGGTGTCTCCCATGTGACTGCCAGTTAGTCACCTCCCGTTGGATAGTGACACTCTTTATGCGCCTGGCTCTCTGAACACCCAAGTCCCTCATTTCCCATCACGAGCAGCAAAAAGCCCTGCGGAGCAAAGTACTAGGAGGTCAAACCCCGCCGGATTGACGGGGAGCAATCTTCCGCCACCTGATCCCGCTAGTTGTCAACACTGAGACTGGCGGAAGCGACGGGACACGGCGGAATTGCGTGCGGCCCGACCTTGTTGCAGCCTGTTCTGCATGTGGGGATGTCAAGGCGCTTGGGTACAGAAGGGAACCGTCGGGAAGGTCGGGAAGGTCGGAAAGGGCAGGGGCCGGGCGGGCGGTGTCCAAGCCACCACCACTTACCGGCGAGGCTGCGACCTCCTCGACCATCCGCCACAGCTTCCGGGCGAGCTTCACGTCACTTCCGCCACCGCCCAGACCATGCACGTGACTCAAGCTCCGGGTGGCTCCCAGGCTGAAGCACCGCCCTCTCCTAAAGGGGCCTCGCAAAGCCAGCGGCCTCGGTCTACAGCCGGCTGGAAACAAGCAGCTCCATGTCCTGGCCCGCCACTGCGCGATACTACAATACAAGCTACGCCGCCGCTGACCCCGGGGTGGACAGTAGACTCATCTCCGAGGCCTTCTCTACTCTAGTGCTTTGTCCCTGGAGGTCGCAGGAGGCACTCTGGGCCTGGTCTCCAGCTGGAGTCCAGAAAGATTCAGAACTCAAGGGCACCCCAGGCAAACACAGTTCAAAGGCCCGGAGGCGCATTACAGAAACCGAGCCCTAGGGTAAACCCTTTCCTGGGGAAGACCCCCGCAATACCTTAAGCCCTACCACTGCCTCCATACCGCGGGCTTCAGCCTCCCCATTTGCAAAGGAAGTGACCTGGCCCGACCCCTCAGGATCTGGATAAGCTATTTTGGCCCTCTGTAAGGACCACCTCCCAGGACGGGCGAGACAGGAAGAGCAGCCTCGTGACTGCAGCGTCCTTATCTACAGTCCTTACCCATCATGGGAGAGGAAGAGTACCTCACTGGGGCCCCAGAGCAAGTCGAGAACAGGCCCGCTGCAGCCACTCACCCCAGCCCCCTAGAGGTGTCTTGAAAAGACAGGGAGCCCACCACTCTCCCAGGAGGTACGCCCAATCTAGGCAGGTAGGTTCCTGGGTTCGCATGCTGCGGCCCCGCCGCCACAACTCAGAAAAGAGCAGGCTCAAAGGGTGCTCCAGTTGAGACCTGAACCCTACCCCCTCTTCCACAGGGAGAGTGATGATGGTATCTGCATTTGTGCTGAACTTTTCTGAGAGTTTGGGGGCAAGCCCAGAACCTTCTAAGAACTCACAGAACGCCGGGGAGAGCACACATGAGCTATGAAAGCAAAGAGAGGAACGTTAAAATTTCAAACCTTTAATTTTTCTTTCGTTTTGCTTCCAAAAGGAAAGAATAGCGTGGCACTGCCGCTTGCACATCGTCCACAGCCCCTGGATCAGGGCAGTTCCGACCCCAAAGCCAGCAAGCTACCTCAGGGGACTGGGGCACACATGCAGCCCCCAGGGCCAGGGCCGGCGCTGCCTTATTGCTGAGGTCTGTCCCGCCTTGGCTCGGGGCACAGCAGCTCCATTAGGCGCGCAGGCTGGGCAGCTCCTGGGAGATGAAGCGGCGCAGGCGCTCCAGGTACTGGCTGTAGAGCTCAATGTCGTTGTGCCCAGCGCCCTCCACCCACAGTGGCTCCACGGCCTTGGGGCAGCGCTCATAGAGCGCCAGCCCGTGAGAGAAGTCGATCACCTCGTCCTCCGTGCCATGGATGATAAGCACCGGCGATGTGATCTTGGACACCTTCTCGATGCTGCAGGGTGGGGCGTGTTAGGCCTCCACAGCCCGCCTCACCGAGGCCCCGCCCCCACCCAGGTTCCCAGGGCAGCCCAGCGCTCACTTGGGGAACGCATCGAAGCAGTAGGTCTTCTTGGTGTCGGGGAAGGCCACGCGCATGCCCGAGGTGAGCGGGGAGTGCAGCACCACTGCGGCGCACTCGTAGCGCGAGGCCAGGTCCACGGTGGGCACTGTGCCGATGCTCTGCCCGTACAGAACGATGCTATCCGGACTGATGCCGTACCTGGCAGCGGGGCAGGGTCAGCTGCAACTGCAACACCCCCCTCCCACAGTCTGCCCTCCTTGGGCAGTATTTCCTGGGACAGCCTCTAGGCAATTAGGCTGGTCCCAAGGGCCCTCCCCTGGCCCCCAACAGAGGTGGTCCACTTAGTAGGGAGGCAAGGCCCCCAGCAAGTGTGAAAATAACTGCCCGTGCCCCCACCCTCCCTACCCTGCCACAACCCCAGGTCACCTGGCCCTACCTTCAGTTTCTCCAACAGGATCTACTCATGGCTAGGAAGTGCACCTGGTAAGGGCCTACATGCCTGTTCCCAACCACACGGGAACCCAATTGTCACCCTCCCCATGTAGGTGGCCTCCAAGGCTCTCCTCCAATACATCCAACCCCAATCCCAAAGATATCCCTCTTCCTGGTAGATGGGGGCCAGGGCAGTTCTGCATTTCACCTGAGGAATATACCTGAAAAGCCAGACTCCAATTCCCTGTCTATAGGGGCATCCCTATCTGTCCCTGTCCTGGTAGCACTCCACGTTAACCCCTGCCTACTCCCAGGCCTCAGGGATGCCACCTGGCCACTCCTCCTCAGCCTGTGCCCAGGTTGCCATTGCCACTGCTGTGCTGAGCACCAGCACAGCCCTATCACCCAGCACCAAGTAGGGACCCAGCACAAGCAGTCCCTGGACATCAGGACATCGCCACCTGAATAAACTCAACAGGTGCCAGATGGAGCGGGGCTCTTGGACCCCAGGTCTCTCCAGCCCCAAGCACTGCTTGGGCCCAAGCCTCCTGCTGCTTCTAAGCTGCTGAAGCTGAGGGACCAGGTCTCTGGAAGTCAGTGCAGGTGACAGGACAGATGGACAATGGACAGAGCTTAGAACCCTCACCCCACAGTGGGGTGTGATTCTGCCAGCAACCCCCAGTGCGAGCAGAGACAACAGGAAGGGCTGAAGCAGTCAAAGGCAAGTATATATCTATCTATACCACACTACCCAAGACAGCTCCTTGGTACCAGGGGACCCTGCTCCCAAGGCCTGCCAGGTGCATCACTATGAGCCCCATCTCCCCAGAGCAGACTGACTTTGGGCCCTGAAGGAGAGAGTCCAGCAGGTCAGCCAGGCAGGGCTAAGGTAGGGCATCCTCCAGCAGACAGTGGACAGGGTGCCACCTCCAACAATGGCAGGACTGACCTTCTAGAGCAGAGCTGGGCACAGGGTGGCATGCTGAAAATGCTGGCTCAGAGACCAAGTGAATGTGCTTCAGTGAGTGAGTATTAGGGCGGGAGGGGTCTGCCCAGGATCTGAATGACCAGGATGGTTGAGGTCCAGAGAGGGAGTGAACATGTCTGAAGTCAAGCATGTGGGTATGTCCTCTGCTTGCTGACCTCCCACTGACCCCAGTGGCCAGCGGCATTCTCAGAAGCCTACTAGTGCCAGGGTGTGCCAGGCGCCCGCAGCAGCAGCAACAGCAGCAGCAGTACACTGGACAGCCTGGAAGCTTCAGTTCCTGCAGCAGCGGCAGCAACATGGCCTCAGTTGGTAATGCTGTGGAGCCCCAGGACTGTGGAGGTAGTGGCAGCTGCAGGGGGCTCCCCAAGACCTGTGCTGGGCAACAAGCTTCCCAACAAAACCCTCTAGGCCTAGAGGAGCCCAAACCACCATCCCCAGTCTAAGGCCAAGTTCCAAGGCCACAAGCGCCTCAAAGGCGTGCCCTGAGAATCCCACTGTGGCAGCCCAGCCCAGCCTCCTTTGGCCTTGGGGCTCTCACAGTTCATTCACAGAGCCCTTACATGCTACCTCCTGGACCAAGGTCCTCTGCCTAACGTTTCTTCCTGGTGAAACCTCCACTCCCCTGGGGACAGCCCCAACCCATTCCCCACCCTGCCAGAAAGGTTTGAGGTTTGAGGACTACCCACACACCAGCCTGCACACCAAGTATGCCTGCTACCATGCTGAGGAGACACAGGTCAGGCCTCATCCTCTGGACCACTATGGCCGCTGTCAGCTCCCTCTCCAGCAAGGCCACCCACCAGGACCTGGCCCGGGCTTCCTCCCTCCCCAGGGAGGTTGGCCCAAGTCCCTGGTGGGTGCCTTCCAACCCACCCTGTTTCACAGGGTTTGGTCCCTTCCAAGGGGACACTCTAAGATGACCAAGTCCCAGGCACACAGCTCACCGAGTGCGCAGGGCCTGCCAGGCGGCATCGATATCAGCATAGAGGTTCTTCTCTGAGGGCCTGCCTGAGCTGACGCCATAGCCCGAGTAGTCATAGGAGAAGATGTTACAATTGATGCGTGTGCCCAGGCCAATGTAGAAGCTGCTCATCTGGCCTAGATCCACAGCATTGCCATGTGAGAAGAGGACTGTGTACCTAGGGGGGTGGGAAGAGACAGGTCAGAGAGCAAGGGAAAGAGGGGACTACTCATGCCCCAACCCAGGAAGGGACAGGAGTGCAGGGGAAATACAGACCTCTGGGGACACAAAATTGCCTAGCTCCTCCCACCTGTGTGATCTCAGGCAGGGGATGGCCAGCAAAGCCTCAGGCTTCCCCTCTGTGAAATGGGGCACTGGGACTGAGCAGAGAGTGGGCCCAGCCGCCTTTCCTTGGGTCCATTTCTTTTGGAGGGACTCCAACAGCCCCTGAGGATGACAGGCTCATGGACCCGCTGTTTAGAACCTTCCTGGAGAATGAGATTGCTTCACTGTAGACATGGCTGTCCCCTTTCCTCCTGATAGCTGGCCCCCTCCCCTGCTCCACAAGTGATTAAAGCCAATCCCTGTTCATAGTGGTGCGGGTTTCCCTCTCCTGCAGAAAATGACCATGGTCACGGACTTATTTCAGTCCTCGTGTCCCATGACAGCCCTGCCAAGCTGTCATTAACAGGGCCTGCCAAGATCCTGCCAAGAGCAGGCAACCAGATGACTCCTTGCCAGTGGACTCTCACAGAGTCCTCTTCCTCCAGCACCACTGGGTCCCAGCTCCCATTTCCGTCAACCCAGCCAGGCCCAGAGGAAAAGTAAGAGTTCGCCCTTTGGACTTAGACCTGGAGTCAAAACCTGCCTGGTGTAAGGCAAAAGCATCCGGAAGGCCCAGTTCTGCCCCACCCCTCATGCTCAGGAAAAAGCTGTTTGCAGGTCCTGTTAATGGGAAACCAGACTGGGCTTGAGCCACCAGCCTGACTTGGGTACCAAAATTTCACTGGGCACCAATCACCTGAGAGACTCTGCTCCTTGTGGAACAGGTGCTGTGACATAGCTACTTGAAGCCATTTCCCTGAGCTTCAGGGTCCTCCTCTGCAAGATGGGTTCCTGAGAGGGCTCTTGGAGCTATACATGGAAGGGCACCTGGCAGTAAGGGCACCTGGCAGCTAGGCAGTGGCTGTGAGCAAAGTGAGGCCCACACTTGGTAGCTCTGGTCAGCCAGCCCTTGGCAAGAAGCATCCCCAGGCACTCACAACCCCTGGTGGACTCTCATACCGCTTTGGTATTCCAGGAACCCTGAAGATGAAGATGAGCATGAGACACTCCCTGGGTCCCGCCCCCTCCATCCTTCCTGGCTCTGGGTCTGTCCAGGTCAAGTCCTCAAGGCTCACCTGGCTCCAGGCACACAGCGCACATACATGCAGGCAATGCGGTTGCCCCGGCTGCTCTTGGTCAGGAAGACCTCAACAGTGTCCAGCTCACGCTGGCTATACTGGAAATCAGAACGCTCCATCAGGTGGAGCTTCCAGCGTCCAGGGGTGCCTGTGGAGGCCCGCAGGGTCCCTGAGGGGGCGGCCCCAGCCCCACCAGGCCTGGGCTCAGGCTCAGGCACCAGCGAGTAGGTGGGCTCCGGCGGCAGGAAGGCGAGCTTGGCGGCAATGCGACCAGGGCAGGGCGGGCAACAGAAGAGGCAGCAGAGCTCAGTCACCGACAGGCCGTTCATGGCGGGCACTGGGCCCAAGAGCAGGCCTCTCTCAGCAGTGGAGGGGTAGGGGTGCTCTGAGATGTGGGCAAGGGGAGGGCAACCCCCAGCCACTGCCCCAGACAAAAGCCCTGTTAGGAGGCAGCAGCCCAGCCCCATCTTGGTCCAAGCTGAGCCCTCGGGAGCCCTGGAGCCTCACGTCTCCATGTCCTGCACAGGGAAGCCCTGCAAAGAACAGCAACATGTGAGTTCCCTCAGGGCACCAACAGAGAAGGGGACCCAATCTCACCTGGCCTGAGCCTCTTGGCCTTCCCCAAAGCCCAGTCTCCCCTCTCTTGATCAGATTGCTCCACCCTCCACCCACAGACCTACAAGCCCAGCTTGCCCTCCAAGGGGACCACACACCTCCAGAAAGACCTCTGTGGGACCCAAAGCTGATCTGTCCCTGCCTGCTACCACTCTTCTTCAGCTTACAGTAACCAACTCTTGCCATTTACCCTGGCCCACCCCAGCTCTCCTCCCCCAGCTCAGCCCAGGGGAACCCTGTCACTACCACCCCCCATGCGTCTGTCCACAGGGCTGGCCCAGACTCCTCCCCACCCCTCGCCCTGCCTATCTGTGCTATCCTTCAAGGCTCCAACTGCCACCCTTAGGTGACACAGAGCAACTGAGGCAAGGACAGACCCAAGAGCACGCTGATGGGGGAGGTGGCTGGCCCACCTCAGGATATGAGGCAGGACAGTGAGTGAGGCAGGATAGTGATGTCTGGAGACAGAGGAGCCCAGGCAGAGGAAATACAACAAACAAAGGCTCTGGAAACAAAAGCAGGATACATCTAAGGCTATGAGCTGAACAATGGCTCGCCCCTGTGCTGGGGGCCAGGACCAGGGGCCAGGCTGCTGAGGGGGTGGGGTCACAAGAGCTAGAGCTCCAGCTCTGGCAACTTCAGGGTCTGGGACCTTGGGCAAGAAGCTTACCCTCCTGGGACCTGTTTCTTCACCCATCAACTAAGACACCATTCACCTCACAGGGGGAGTAAATGAAATGAAGGGTTTAGTGGTGGGCGGGGGCATGGCTCAGAGAAGCTCAAATGTTCTTCCTTCTGGTAGAGCGTTGTGAAACCCTGTATTAAATAGACTACAGCTAAATTGCTAAAGCAACTACAATCATATTCAGAGCTGGCAATGGAGAGACTAAGAAAAAAACAGGTTTGAGGAAACCTGACCACTTACTATGCTTTTCCTACAGACCAGACTGAGGGAGGGAGACACTCAGCTTTAGCATCAGAGCACCTTTGCACGTTCAGTTTTGAGGCCACAGCATTTGAAAACCACTGAGTCAGGGACCCTCAAACTCAGATTAGATCAGAGAAGTCTGAAGCCCAAAACACACCTGCTCCCTCCAGACCTGTGACCTGAGACTAAGGGCTGGAGAGAGCCACATCCTGCTTTCACCTGGATTCAGGTCACACAGGGGAGTGAGAAAGCTGCAAAAGCCAAGGTGGGGACATGGACGACCTCGAGGAGTCCCTGAATTTCCAAGCAGGATGCATACTTTATGTGCAAGCATTTTTCAGAAGAGAGGGTCTCTCATACTGGTTCTCAGATGCAGGAGAGTGTCCTCAATGGAAACACTTGCCAATGTCTGGAGGCATTTTTGGTTATGAGAATTGGGGGAGGGAGCTCATGGTATCAAGAGGGTAGAGTCCAGGGATTCTTCTTCTTCTTCTTTTTTTTTATCCTCACCTGAGGACATTTTTCCATTTTTTGTTCAGAAAGAGTGGGAGGGAGAGAGAGAGAGAGAGAAACATCGACGTGAAAGGGACACATCGAGTGGCTGCCACCTGCACGACCAACCAGGGCCGGGGACAAACTGCAACCAAGGTACGTGCCCTTAGCGGGAACCAAACCCGGGTCTCTCTGGACTGCAGGCCAACGCTCTAACCACTGAGCCAAACCAGTCAGGGATGCTTCTTAACACCCTACAGTACACCCACCCAAGAAATGATTATCTGTCCCCAAATGTCAACCATTCTTAAAGAGGTGCAGGCCCCAACAGGTGATAGTCCACTGCTGCAAGCAGGGACTGAAGGGTCTGAAGCCTGTGTGGCACTGTGTGAGCTGGTTTTGCGAGGAAGACCTGGCTGAGAGCCAGTGGACAGGTAGGAGGCCCACAGCAACCCTAAGGATGAAGGAGCACACCAAGGTGACCAAGCCACACTGACCAAACCAGGAACCTGGCTGTAGTCCTTGACTCCTCCATATTGTCTCTTCCTCTCTAACTGCCACTTGGTCTCTTCCTCTGTCATCACCTGGACTTAGTCTCCTTCCTTTCTGGTCCCCCCTTGACTACCATCACCCTACTCCAGGCCATTCTCCCCACCCCCAGCAGCTGAAGGAACTTTTCACAACACAAATCTGATCACGCCACCTCCCTTTGGGATGCCTGTGGCCTCCCTCCCACTACTTTCAGAATAGGGATCAAATCCCTCACCACAGACTGCCAGGTTGGCAGTCAGCTGGGGTGACCTCTCCAGCCTCATTCATCTGGTATTCCACTCCCCCTCATTCTCCCCAGATGAGCCACACTGCCCACACAAGCCTCAGAGCCAGAGCCCACACAGCTTCCCTCCTGGGGACCCCTTTCCCCAATCTAATTTGATGGTCCTTGCCCTTGTTCTTTTCACCACTCAGATATCACTTCAGTGCCCTCAAAGAAGCCTAAACTGGGACAGGTATCCCCACCCTCATGTCCAACATGCTCTCATAGTTCCTGGTTCCAACCAAAGAAAAATTCCACGAGGGCAAGACCCCTATCTGCTTTTGCTCAATAAACAATGGCTGAACGAATGGGCAAATGACAAGGGAAAAACAGGAAATGGGAAAGCTACAGAGTTTGCCAGGTTTGACAGGGAAGGGAAACAGTCTCTTCTCACGCCATACACAGCTGGGACCTCCTGCACATCCATGATGGATGTCACCGAGTGTGCCCCAAGAGCCAGGTCTCAAACTGGGCAGTGCACATCCAGGTGCCTCCCTTACTGGGCACACAACCCCGGCACTCAAGCACATACTGGGAACCCTGCTGCCAGGCCCCTTAGAGGCTGGAGGTCTTAAGAGGACCTATGAAGAACCAAGGCAACTGCAGGACTCTAGGACGACCTAAATACTGACGACTGTGACCGCACCTCACCCAGCCAGTCAGGGTGGGAAAGCTGTCTGGAAGGTGCGGTCTGAACGGTGGAGAGAAAGTGGTTATGTGACAGGGGACAGGGCAGAGAGAAGAGAATGGGTAAAACCCTAGAGCTGACAGCACGTTCCAGGAACTGCGGGTCCTGGCTACAGCCGACACTGGAAGAATAGGAAAGCAGAGGGGTCCCCGTGAAGGCCAGGGTCGTCGGGCCATGCCTGTGGGCCCTGCTGCTGCAGAGATTGGAGTTCATCCTGGGGGAAACAGGGAGCCCCAAAGGAGTCCTGGACTGGGGTTAGAGGCTGTGAATGTTCCTTGAACTGGAGCGGAGCCGGGGAAGCCTACGATGGGGCAGAAGCGTCTGGGAGGTTTAGGAAGCAGGGCTCGGCTACGAGCTGCTGTGGCGGCGGGCCTGAGTGTTGGAATGGAGAGCCGGTTCTGGGGCAGGGGCAGAGTCTGCGGCTCGGGCCGCGCACTCTCGAAAAGCAGGGGCCACATCCCGGGGGTGGGGGGGGGGCGTTAACCCCACATCCGAGGGCTTAGTGGAGGGAGCACAGGGCTCTGCCGGAGTCAGGAAACTGGCCCGCGGTCCTCGCTCCAGGTCTGGGGTACCTCGAACCAGTACCGTGGCTACCTGGGGAGTGTGGGGTCGCGGGGGAGTCCAGCCGGGCTGCTCGAATCTCGCGGCCGGGCCCGGCGCCCCAAACGGCCAGGGGCGGCCACGCCCGACGCTGTTAGGCACTCACCGCCGCGGCCCACGCACCCCCGTCCCGGGGCCACACTCCATGGCTCCCAGCCTCCCGCCCGTGCGTCTGCCGGTCCCTCGGCGCCGCGGCCCGGCCTCCTGCACCGCCGCCGCTGCCGCCGCTGCCCTGCGGGCGGAAGTTAGTCTCGCTCCCGCCACCGTCCCGGAAGTGACACACAGGCACGCGCGGAGATGGGAAAGGCAGGAGCCCAGACCTGGGCCCCCGGCGCCGGAGTGACGCACGTACAGGGGCAGGACTAGGTTTCTGGGGGCGGGGCCTGCTGATGGATAGCACCGGTGTTGGGGCGGAACTGAGCTGGGGTGGGCGGGACCGAGTTGTGGGTCTTGGTTGTGGGCGGGGCTGGCTCGTTGCCGTGAAGGGGCGGGGCCGTGATGGGCGGGACTGACACGGGGGTGTACAAGGCCCGAGTTCCAGGTTTCAGCTTCAGTTTGCAGGAGCCGAGTCTCCCTATAAAGCATTCGTTCCTCGTTGTTTTAGTCATTCCACGGTGAGGACTAAGGTGAGGCGAGTGAGACAAGGCTGTCAAAATGCAGGGTCGGATTCTGCCTTTATTTAAAATCATATTTTGCTTCTCCTGAGTTCTTTTGCACGTGTTTCATCTTTTAAAATATTGAATGAAAATACTATGAATTTTGGTAGCTGGTTTTCTGGCGTCCCTTGAAGTTTCGTGCCTGAGGCAAATGCCTCGCATTCCTTACCCTAGCCCATCCCAGCTCTGCTCTTGCTGCATGGAGAGGATAAGGATTGGGAACAAAATGGGGGTATAACTGACGGTGACTGAAGTGGCCAAGCCAGGCCTTTCTGAGGAGGTGACAGTGACTGAGGCAGAAAGGCTGCCGAGGCCAACCGGGCCCAGCTGGAGGCAGGACTGTGAATTAGTTGGACAGTCTTGCCCTTCCAGGCCTCCTGCCTTTGTATATACCTTTCCCCCAGCCTGTGTGCCTTTTCCAGCTCAAAATGCCCCACCCCAGCAGACAGTCCCCAACCCACCCCGCTCCTCCGCAGAGACTCTATAATCGTTAGCTTCATTTACAAAGATAAACTTGAGGCCCTGGGCTTCCCTGCCAGCCCTTCTCCAGGGCCCCATTCCTCCTGTCACTTACGTGGAGAGGACCCAGGCACAGGAGTGGTCACTAACCAGAGCTGGTTTCCAGCTGGTTTCCTCTGGCCTCCAGCTCTGCCCCCTGACCTGGGTTCAGCCACCACTTCCCCCACCTTGTGCTAGAGGGTTGCCCAGGGGTGCTCCAGAGTCCCCCTGCCTCTGCTGCCCCCACCCCCCTCAAGGCTCCCAGCATCAGCTGAAGTTCTCCTGAGGCCCAAAGGTCACAACCTGGCCAGGTTCCTTCTGATTTCCTTGTGACTTCAGGCGCTGGAGCAGAAAGAGGCCTGTCCACAGCCTCCTTCCCCAGCCCCATCTTCCCATCCAGCCCTTCTCCCCATGGGTTGGAAAGGGCCGGAGCTGCAGATGCATCAGAAATCCCAGCTCCACCTGTACTAAAGGGAACACTGGCTGACACTATGAAGGGGGTGGGCCCAGGAAGTGGAGAGAGGGTTTAATTCCCATCCAAATGTTTCTTGTCTCTACCCTAACCCAGTTCCCCCACCGACCAAAGGGGACTCTGCAAAGATAAAGGCACTGTTGTAAACTTCCCAAAATATCAGGACAGTCACCTTTTCTCCTCCTCTCCCAAAGGCCCTGAAAGGTCCAGCCACTGGCCCATTTTTACCCCTTCACCTCCCACCCCTTTTCCCCTTGCTTTCTCTCCCCTAGCCACACTGGCCATGCCAGTTTCATTCCTACCTGAACAATTCTGCATGAGCTGTGCCTCCTGCCTAAGTGTTCTGTCCCCAAATAGCCACATGGTTGGCTTCTTTTTTTTTTTTTTAATCCACACCTGAGGATATTTTTCTATTTATCTTCAGATAGAGTGGGGGGGAGGGAGAGAGAGAGAAACATCAATGTGAGAGGGACAATCGACAGGTTGCCTCCCACATCATCCTGAGCAGGGCTAGGGACAAACCGCAACTGAAGTACGTGCCCTTGACTGGAATCAAACCCTCGATTCATTGGTCCATGGGCCGACGCTTTAACAGCTGAGCCAAACTGGCCAGGGCTTGGCTTATCTTTATGCGTCCTCTCTAATGTCACCTCTTCAGAGAGCCCTCCCTGACCTCCTCCAAAGTCCCTACCACATGCACCCCTGTCCCATCACCTACTTATTTCCATCAGAACTTGCCATCTGATATCATTTTATTGAGCTGTTTCCCTGTTAATTATGTCTTCCCCATATTTCATCCGATTCCCAGAGCAGTGACCCAGGCTCTCATCCACCATGTTCCCAGCTGTCCCCCATGCTGTCTGATGAATTGATAGGTGCATAACAAACGGGATAAAAATAACTCCCCACCCAGGGGATGGCTTCTGTGAGGGTGGATGGAAGTTCCAGCACAGACCTCAGGCGGTCCTTCACTTTCTCCCAACTTGAGATGCTCAACCTGTCTGGAAAGTAACTTGGCCACAGGAATTAATGGTTCTTAAAAACGCTCACGAGGGGGCCATGAATTCCAGCCCCTAGCTGTACAATATGGAACCATTAGCCCCACATGGCTACTTATTAAATGTAAATTAATTGATTAAAAAATCAATAAAATTTGCCCTGGCTGGGTGGCTTAGTTAGTTGGAGTGTCATCCCGTACACGAAAAAGGATGCAGATTCAATTTCCAGTCAGGGCACATACCTAAGTTTTGGGTTCAATCCCCAGTTGAAGTGCATACGAGAGGCAACCAATTGATGTTTCTTTCTCACATGGATGTTTTTCCCTAACCCTTTCTCTCTCTAAAAGTCAATAAAAATATATCCTCGAGTGAGGATTTTTTTTTTTTTTTTTTTTTAATCCTCACCCGAGGACATTTTTCCATTTTTTGTACAGATAGAGTGGGAGGGAGAGAGAGGAAGAGAGAGAGAGAAACATCGATGTGAAAGGGACACATCGAGTGGCTGCCACCCGCACGACCAACCAGGACCGGGGACAAACTGCAACCGAAGTACGTGCCCTTAGCGAGAACCGAACCCAGGTCTCTCCGGACCGCAGGCCGACGCTCTAACCGCTGAGCCAAACCGGCCAGAGCTCGAGTGAGGATTTTTTAAAAAGCCAATAAAATTTAAAAGTTAGTTCTTCAGTTCCAGTGGCCTCATTGCAAGTGCTCAAGAGCCACATGGGACTGGTGACTTCCATATTGGACGGCACAGATGGAGAACATGTAAAGAACCATCACCTGGATGGTTCTAGAAGCACCAGTCTATACAGTGAGCTCCACCAAGAAAGGCAACTGTTGTGTCCCCAGTACCCAACTCAGGGCTTAGCATTCAGTAGGTGTTCAATAAATGTTGATAGAAGGAGAGAAGAAAGGGAGGGAGAGAGGGAGGAATTCTCCTTCTAAGGATCCAAGTAAACAACATGAAAGACAGCAAGATCTGTTCATAGATGTCCATCCCTGCATTAATTATAATAGTGAAAAACAAAAATATCCTTAAAGTGCAGCCAGAGGAGACTAGATATAAAGATTATGGTCAAGCCCTGGCCAGTGGGGATGAATTGGTTAGGCATTGTCCCATATACCAAAAGATTGCTGGTTCAATTCCCAGTGAGGGCACATGACTGGGTTGCAGGCTCAATCCCAAATAGGGGCATGCAGGAGGCAGCCAATCCTATGTTATGCTCTCACATCAATGTTTCAATCTCTCTCTCTCCCACTTCCTTCCTCTCTCTCTAAAAATCAATAAACAATTTAAAAAATTATGGTCAACCTGGTGCACGCCCATGCCTTTCCCGTTCCACCACCCCCCCCCCCCCTTTTTGTTAATCCTCACCTCCTAAGGATATTTTTTCCATTGATTTTGAGAGAGAGTGGAAGGGAAGGAAGGACAGGGAGAGAAAGATAGAGAGAAACATCCATGTGAGAGAGACATATCGATTGGTTGCTTCCTGCACATGCCCCAACTGGGACCGGGGATCAAACCTGCAACCCAGGTACGTGCTCTTGACCAGAAATCAAACCCGAGACTCTTCACAGTGCAGGCCAATGCTCTAACTACTGAGAAACACTGGCCAATGCCCATTCCCCTCTTCTCCCCCACCTCAGGCACATTAACTTTGCCTTTGCCTCTCCTCTGTAACTCTAAATAAATTTGCTCTTTTTAAAATCTCAATTTTTGCCTGGCTTTTGTGGCTCAATAGTTGAGCATTGACCCATGTACTAAGAGGTCACCAATTTGATTCCCAGCAGGGCATATGCCCAGGCTGTGGGCTTGAATCCCAGTGCGGGTCATGCTGGAGGCAGCCAATCAATGTTCTCTCTCATCAATGTTTCTATCTCTCTCTCCCTCTCACTTACTCTCTCTCTCAAATCAATAAAGAAAAATTATGTTAAAATAATCATTTATAAATAAAAAAAATAAAATCTAATTTTTATAAATTTTTAAAAAATTATTGTTTATTTTAGAGAGAGAAACATCAATTGGTTGTCTCACCTCTCTTATGCTCCTGACCAGGGATCAAACCCACCACCTTCTGGTGCACGGGAGGATGTATGGTCAACCCTTGATAGAAAAAATTGCAGCCCTGAGGTATGAACATCAATATGAGGCTGTTGGTTTGTTTTTTTCAAAATAGTTTTACTTTTATGATTTTATAGGAAATATATTTACATGGCTCAAATTTCAAAACATCTTAAAGGCTGTTCTCCAGGAAGCAGATGATCCCAGCAAGGCTGTCACAATTCCCAGTAACTCCTGACACAGAGCTGGGAAACCCAGCATATGTGTGGCCAAAGAAGAGACCCTTCCACCTTTTAAACTTTTTTTTTTTTTAAACTCACATAATAGCTTTCAATAAACACCATGCAGATAGTTACTTCTTCTGCCTTGGCCCATCTGCATGGCTCTCATGGAACCCCCAGGGCTGGCCCACCGCTTACCTCTTGTTGGACGTGGAGGTTAATTCCCGATGTGGCCAGAACAGAAATGGCACATGAGGCATTTCACCACTGAGGGCGGGACCCAGAGTGAAGATTCCTGAAAGCAGAGGCTACTAGGGAGAAAGTCCACCCAGCTGCATCCAGGAAACAAAGCAGTCGTAGGTCTCCCCTCTGTGAAAAACATAACACAATGGGAACAGGGATGATGTCGGGGGATGAGAAAACAGGTGAGGTTTTCTCTTCGTCACATTTTGACATCTTCTGATTTTGTTCTGGTTTTGCTTGGCAAAGGATGTATTGCACTGTTATGATCAGGAAGAGGTTGAAATAAAGCTAGATGGCTAAAAGAAGACTAGCTAGCCTTGGCTGATGGTTCTTTCTCTTCTCTTTCATTCATGTTTCTCTCTCTCTCTCTAAAATCAGTAAAAACAGTCCTGGCTGGTTTGGCTCAGCGGTTAGAGCATTGGCCTGTGGTCCGGAGAGACCTGGGTTCAGTTCCCACTAAGGGCATGTACCTCGGTTGCAGTTTGTATCCGGCCCTGGTTGGTCGTGCGGGTGGCAGCCACTCGATGTGTCCCTTTCACGTCGATGTTTCTCTCTCTCTCTCTCCCTCCCACTCTATCTGAACAAAAAAATAGAAAAATGTCCTCAGGTGAGGATAAAAATAAATAAATAAAATAAAATCAGTAAAACATTTTAAAAAGTAATAAAAGAAGCCCTGGCAGGTTTGGCTGAACAGTTGGAGCATCCACCCATGGACCAAAGGGTCTCAGATTTGATTCCTGGTCAAGGGCATGTACCTCGATTGCAGGTTCAATCCCCAGCCCTGGTCGGGGTCAAGCAAGAGGCAAACAACTGATGTGTCTCTCTCACATCAGTGTTTATCTCTCTCTCTCCCTCCCTCCCTTCCACTCTATCTAAAAATCAATGGGGAAAAAAATATCCTTGGGTGAGGATTAACAACAATAAATAAATAAAGACTAGCTATTAAAAAGTATGCTTATGGCCTTGACCCAGTGGCTCAGTTGGTTGGAGCATCGTGCAGAAGGTTGCCAGTATGATTCCCAGTCAGAGCACATACCCAGGTTTCAGGTTCCATCCCTGGTCACAGCTCTTTCGGGAAGCAACTGATCAGTGTTTCTCTCTCTCTTCCTCTTTCTCTCACTCTCGCTCTCTCCTTCCCTTACTCTCTTCTAAATAAAAATAAAAATAAGAAAACATATGCTCAGGGGAGGATTAAAAACATTATGCTTATGCTTCTCAGTAGGTACCCAAAAGAATTGAAAGCAGGGACTTATACATGAATATTGGTAGCAGTGTGATTCACAATAGCCATGGAGAGATGAACGGATAAACAAAATCTGGCCCATCCATACAGTGGAATATTATTCAGCCTTAAAAAGGATGACATTTTGACACCTGCTACAACATGAATGAACCTTGAGGACATTAGGCTGAGTAACATAAGCCAGGCACAGAAGGACAAATACCGTGTGATTCCAGTCACTGGAGGTCCCTGGATGAGTTGGACCCATAGACACATAAAGTGGATGGTAGGAGCCAGGGGTGGGGAGAAAGGGATGGAGATTTAGTGTTTAATGGGGACGGAGTTTCAGTTGGGGAAGATTTTGGAGATGAGAAAGTTCTGCACATGAGAAAGTTTTGGAAATTGATGGTGGGGATGGTTGTATGACAATGTGAGTGGACTTAATACCACCAATTTGGGCATTTAAAAATGGTTAAGATCGTCTGGCCAGCCCTGGCCAGTTTGGCTCAGCGGTTAGAGCGTTGGCCTGCGGTCTGGAGAGACCCGGGTTCAGTTCCCGCTCAGGACATGTACCTAGGTTGCAGTTTGTTCCCGGTCCTGGTTAGGTTGTGCGGGTGGCAGCCACTCACTCGATGTGTCCCTTTCACGTTGATGTCTCTCTCTCTCTCTCTCTCTCTCTCTCTCTCTCTCTCTCTCTCCGCCCCCCTCCCACTCTATCTGAACAAAAAATGGAAAAATGTCCTCGGGTGAGGATAAAAAAAAAAAAAAAAGATCATCTGGCCAGCGTGGCTCAGTGGTTGAGCATCAACCCACGCACCAAGAGGTCGCCAGTTTGATTCCTGGTCAGGGCACATGCCCAGGTTGTGGGTCCAATCCCCAGTAGGGGGCATGTAGGAAGCGGTCAGTCAATGTTCTCTCTCATCAATGTTTCTATCACTCTCTCGCTCTCCTTTTCTCTCTTTCTAAAATCAATAAAGGCAAAAAAATTTTTTAAGTGGTTAAAATTATGTTCATAGCAGCACTATTTACAATTGCTAAGATCTGGAAACAACCCAAGTGTCCATCAATAGATGAGTGGATAAAAAAGCTGTGGTACATTTACACAATGGAACACTATGCAGCTATAAGAAAGAAAGCTCTATTATCCTTTGAGACAACATGGAGAGATCTGGAGAGTATTATGCTCAGTGAAATAAGCCAATCAGAGAAAGACAAATACAACATGATCTCACTTATTTGTGGAACATAATGAACAAAAAAAGCTGATGAACAAAATAGACCCAGAGATATAGAAAGAAGTATGGTTCAGACTGACAAATATTAGAGGTGGGGGGCTAGGGGAGGGATGAGATAAATCAAAGAACTTATATGCATGTATGCATAACCAATGGACACAGACAACAATGCTTGGCTTGGGGGGTGTGGGATAGGGAGGAGGGCGTCTGGGTGGGAAAAGGAGAAACATCTATAACAAAATTAAATTTATTAATGAAAAAAAAAAATGGTTAAGATGGCCCAACTGCCCTGGCCGGTTTGGCTCAGCGGTTAGAGCATTGGCCTGCGGTCCAGAGAGACCCAGGTTCGGTTCCCGCTAAGGACATGTACCTCGGTTGTAGTTTGTCCCCGGCTCTGGTTGGGTCGTGTGGGTGGCAGCCACTCGGTGTGTCCCTGTCACGTCGATGTTTCTCTCTCTCTCTTCCTCTCTCTCCCTCCGGCCCTGTCTGAACAACAAAAAAAGATGGCCCAACTGGTGTGGCTCAGTGGACTGAATCATGGACTGAGATGTCCCGGTTTGATTCCCGGGTTGCAGGTTCGATCCCCAACCCAGACTGGGGTCATATGGGAAGTAACCAATAGATGTGTCTCTCTCACATCCATGTTTCTCTCTCCCTCTCCTTCCCTCCCTTCCACTCTATCCAAAAAAAAAAGTCAATGGAAAAAATATCCTCTGGTAAGGATTAACAACAAAAATGTTAAGGAGGTAAAATTTATGTTATATATATTTCACCATAATAAACTAAATGACAGTTTATAAAACCATGAGGTAGGGGGAGAGACGCAGGTGCTTGGGGAAGTACCAGCTTCAGGCTCTGAGACCTGTGCAGTCACCCAGGGCCCTGAGTTCAGAAGAGCCCACCCATGACTTAAGGCCCTGTAGCTGCTGTCTTGAACTTACTAATGATTTTTTGTTGTTATTAATCCTCATCCAAGGATATTTTTTTCCATTGATTTTTTTTCTTTAGAGAGACTGGAGAGAAAGGAGGGAGGGGGAAAGAGAGAGACATCTATGTGAGAGAGATACATCAATTGGTTGCCTCCCGCACTCATTCCAGTGGGCTAGGGATTGAACCTGTAATCCAGGTATGAGCCCTACTGGGAATCAAACCTGCCGACACTCTAACCACTGAGCAACACCGAAAAGGGCCCTAATGATTTTTTAACAAGGGGTCCTGTGTTTTCATTTCAAACTGGGATCTGTAAACTATATGGCCAGTCTTGGTTTGGGGAAAGGACAGGGAGGCCCAAGGTCAGGGTCTCAGTCCGCGGGGCTGGTGGAGAAGCACCTCAACTTGCAAGTTGTCTGCCCCACCCCCAAGGCAGAGAATGAGACCCAGTCAGGAAGTGGGTTCCTGGCACAGCCAGGAAGGAAGTGGGGGCGGGGGTCTCCTAAAATAGCAGCAGTTGCTAGCTGGTTGGGTGGAGGGTGGGGAGGGGTGGTTGAACTGGAGTGAGCCAGCCCCCCAGGAGGCATGGGGGCTTTCCTGCAGAATCCCCTTCCCCAACCCAGCCCCTCTCCTTCCATCTACACAGGTAGAAATAACTTTTAAAAAATTAAAATATAACTTACAGACCATAATGTGCACAAATTGTATTTGCACAGCTTAATTAAACTGCACACGTACAGGTAAAACCATGGACACAGTAAAAACACCAGTGGATTCTGGGGGTTTGAGGGAGGGGTGGATGAGCAGAGCACAGAGGATTTTTAGGGCAGTGAAAATGCTCTGTATAACATTATAATGATGGACACATGTTATTATACATTTGTTCAAATCCATAGAATGTACAACACCAAGAGTGAACCCCAGTATAGATTATGGATGTTAGATGTTAGGTGATAATGATATGTCAGTGTAGGTGCATTCTTGTAACAAATGTCCCACTCTGGTGGGAGAACATTGATAATGGGGGAGTCTGTGCATGTATTGGGGCAGGGGTATATGGGAAATCTCTGAACCTTCCTCAAACTTAAAAAAAATCCTCACCCAAGATTATGTTTATTGATTTTAGAGAAAGGAAGAGGGGGGAGAGAGAAACATGGATGTGAGAGAGAAACATTGATTGGTTGCCTCCTGTACATGCCCCTACCAGGGACTGAACGCACACCTAGGTAAATGCCCTGACTGGGAATCGAACCCAAAACCTTTTGGTGTACTTTCTGTAAAGTTACATTATGTTTTTTCTGTTCTCTTTTGTGTTGGCTACTTTCACTCCACATTGACTCCGTGAGATTCAGCTGCAGGGTTGTGTGTCTGAGCACTCATTTACCTTTTCTTTTTTTCCATTGATTTTTAGAGAGAGTGGAAGGGAGGGAAGGAGTGGGAGAGAGAGGGTGAGAGAGAAATATCCATGTGAGAGAGATACATCAATTGGTTGCCACCCGCACGTACCCAGACCAGGGCTGGGGAATGAACCTGCAACCCAAGTGCGTGTCCTTGACAGGAATCCAATCCACTACCCTTTAGTCCATGGGCTGATGCTCTAACCATTAAGCAAAACTGGCAAGGGCTTTTACCTTTTTCATTGCTGCATAGCATTCCACAAACATACCACTTTTCTTGATGCATTCTCCTGCAGATGGACACTTGGGTTGTTTACAATTTGGGGCTATTATGAACAAAGT